CTTCCAATACTAACAATAAGCAATTCAGTGTTAATGACCTTTAAATATGTCAGGACATTTCATGTTTCGAAATAAATAATATGACTAAATATAGTTGTACCAACTTTAACTTGATTAATTATTTTTTTCGTTCCATTACTAATCACACTTAGCATTTCCTTGTAACAGATACCGTCTGATGCCACGGGATTTTAGAGGTAAAAAATATCATGTTTAACTATAATGGAGCTGTGTTTAACCCAGGCAATTATCCAATGTTCGTTTGGTCCTTGTTTAACATATATTGTATCGTGGTGACAAATTTGCTATTAAATCTCCTTCCCTTTCAATTCAATTCGAACCAGGTAATCACAGCAAACCTTATTTACTAGTGTAAATACCATTATTTAAGATGAGTTTCGTCCTTGAATCAGACCCTCTGCTTTTTTATTGCAGGTTTTCGATTTTCAAAAATCTGGTTTTTTATACAGAAGGATTAAATGAATTGTATCTAGTTTATATGCGTTACTGTACTGAAAAAATAAACTTAGTTTTACATCTTTTCAAGGCATTCTGTCTCTGCATCCTCTTTGAATTATTATATTGTATGGTATAAAGATTTCAACGTATATCGATTGCAGGGTTTTTACGTATATTATGTCCCTAATCTCTACCTTTTCGTGGCTTTTTTCCTGTAATTACCATCCTATTTCACCAAGTATGCAAGTCTTTCGTCTGGGCCCATTGCAAAGTTCCCCTCAGACGACTCGGTCATCCATCCTACTGGTTACTATTTTCAGGGCGCAGCGATTGTCTTAAGCACACCCCAGTTATTATCAAGTTTAATGGACAGATAATTTTGGAATAAGCCATCTAAGCTCGCTGTACCGACCTTTTTACAACCAAAATTGTCTTTTGCCAGGGAATTGTATAGAATACGAGGATAAGAAATAAAATATATGTAATTTATATCAAATATGTGTAAACATTTATTATAAAGTTATATTAGCGACTCTTTAAAGATCTGAACTCTGTAGCCCATGTGCCGGAATCGTAGCTGAAGACTGAGTGGTTTTACATTGCTTGGCATGGGCCTTTTATACCCCTTGAGAATCTTGATCCTTAATGGCAGTGTTGGCAGCTTGATGACTTGCAATTTTGACTTATCACTATTCCGGTATGCAGCCATATAAATCGAATGGTTATTCCTGAGGGGTATAATTTAGGATGATAAGTTATATCTATAACGCGGACGTATCGTTATCGTGTAGCCAGTTTTAAGGCACAACAGTTCCAATACAAATTGGTTATCTATACATATACATGTATCTATATATATCTTCCTATATTATATAGTGACTTCGGCGGGGCTGTCCAGACCCCCCTCCTTGGAGCCCCTTACTCATATTTTCCCCTCCTCCCCTTCAGCTCCCTCAAAATGAAGGAAAATCGTTTTTCTTTCAATGAAAAATTAACCTAACAAACTTCTGATTTAGCCCCTCGTTATCATAATTTAACCCCCCCCCCTTGGCACCTTCTCACCCTTTTTCCTCCCCCCAGCAGCCCATCAGTCCCCTCAAATCAAGGAAAAATTGTTATGATTTCAATGTGAAATCAACACAATAAATTTTTTACTCATCCCTCTCGCTGCCCCATACCTCCCCTCAATTTCTTCTTACGCCTGCTCTTACCCTTTCCTAGCCCTACACAAGGGAGCCTCCTTAAGACGTGGTTAATGTGGTGAAAAAAACGTGAAGAAATACTAACGGATATTGTGGAGAACAAATGAGTGTACTGTATGGGCTGACGACCGTGACGTAAACAAATATGGCCAAACAAAATTTTCGAAATTTTCAAAGAAACGCCAATTTTGCTGGGCGTTATTCAAAGAAAGAGAAGTTTTTCTAGAAAATTTATGCAATCTTATGATGGAAACCGTTGATTTGTTTGACATATTAGATTATTTTATCATGGATGTGAGTTTCGTCATGAGAATCCATGTTAAAAAGCCTTATAAAGTCAATAATATCTTGAAATTTCGCAGGAAAAGTTATACAAATAGGGATATCGTTAGATGCAGCACATTTTGAATTATTAATTTTATACGGTTTGGGAGCTATTACAACGAAGCCACTTTAAGTCATATTTTAAAAACTTGTTAAATTACTTGAATTAAAAAACATAAAAAATTTTTGTTTTTTTTAGTCAGTAGTGCCAAATTGCTTCAATAAAAGTCAAAGAAACAAACGAACAGTTAAAGAAACAGTTTTGGCAATGGTGCTACTATTTACTTAATAATCATGTACTTAAGTTCTCAAAAAACAATAATTTGTTATGGTTGTTAGTTTACCTAATATATTTTGGTTTAAATCAGCTTCTTGTACTATTCTTGTTTTACAATTTTACTTACAATTTTACTAAAAATTGTATAAAAAAAAATAAAATAACCAAACTATGACATGTGTATTCTCACATGCTCAAATCAAGATTTAGTCAAGGACAGTGCCTTTTATTAGCTAGGAGTTACATTTATCTTGTATGGTTGAGATAAGCGATTTTAAATACAATCAGTATATTTCTAAAATTTCGTACTCCGTGGCTTTGAATGCCAAAGACTGAAGGTATAAAAGTTTATCTTTGAACATTTATTTATTAATAGTAGGAGATACCTGCATACGATTTTCATGATCTTCGTATGTAATTATCACTAATTTATTGAAGAATCACTAATTTATTGAAGAAGTTACAATAACTAGTTTATTAGAACATAAGAATACTGTACAATTTTTCTACTTTGAGGTTGCCTATTACCAATATACATGTAACTACGCCTAAGTAAATAATATTCTTTATTTAAATAGGTAGATTGTAAATTTTCTTCATATTTTCAATTCCTTTAAACCATCAATAAATTATTTATGTACTTAAAAAATTAACAATATTTGGTATAATAAATTTTTAACTAGCATGGGAAATATAAATAAAAGTTAGATCTCTTTTTTAACTTATTATCTAAAAAATTGGCCATTTTTGATTTGCAGGAAAAAGACGTATGTAATGTTACAAATGCATTTACTTACCACATACTTCTAAATTTTTGTACTTAAATTTCTTCTTAAGAATAAATACATATTTTTTATGGAAATCAAAGGTGGTAAGTTTGTAGGTATTTAGTTAAAAAAAGAAAGTAGTCTTTGAGTCATTTCAATTGGATGCTAATTCAAAGTTTCTTATGAGAAATATTTATTCATACACGTGATATATTGATGGTTAAACAAGAAAAGAAGTTTTAAGAAAAATTTACAAGATACTGTGTATATTTGATAGTTACACACATTTGTGTAACAATAATTATTTGCCGTTTGACTGATGGATATAACTTTTCTTGTGTGGTTCTATATATTGGTAATAAAACTGCCTTATTTAATTAATTAAACAATAATGATGTAACATAATTTATAGTTTAAAAAGAAAAATGAGTGATCAGATGCAGATAAATAAAATATCGCCCAATTTTCTTTTTTTACGTTGTGTTGTGAATAAGATATCCAGGCATAAAATTTGGTACATAACTGAGTGTAGTATTTATATAATGCATCATGTTATTAAAAAAAAATTCAATATTATCAAGAATCTTTTTAGTTCAGAACAATTCAGAGAAATTTTTTTCTGAACGAAACTCTACTTTGTCTAATTTGTTTTATTAAAGTGTGAAGGGTTGCATGGTAGCAAATTAAAGTTACTTATTGTGTACGGTCCAATGAACATGACGAATAAAAAAATTGAATGTGAATCAATGTGGAATAAAGCCTCCCATTTTGCTTAGTGTAAAGCAGGAAAATACCGAAACGAAATAAAAGATTAGTTTTGTTTAAATACTTACTGTCAAATACTTGATTCAGCAACTATTGAGAACTTATAATTAGTTATATTTAAATTTATATTTGTCAACAGTTGACAACTGTAATTTATATTCAAGGAATTATTTCTATTAGCTTACCAAGTTTTAAATCATGATTTATGGTTCAATGAGTTCAGTATGACGTTCAATGATTTCGTGAAAAAGACTAGGGCAGTGAGAAAAACGAGCTGGTGACAGACGACTTCAGATCACTTGCTTTTCTAGTATTCAGCATGAAAGTGTATTGCGACCCCTCGATTTTTGTGTAAACTATATGTTTTGCAAAAATATACTTTTAGTGTACCAAAATTCTAATTAAAAAGTAACTGAACTTAATTTTTTCACTAATAACCCTGCCATGCTAACTAATTTTTTTATTTTTTATTTTAAATATTACCAAAGCATAATTTTGAGAACTACAACTCGGTATTGAAAAGCATAACTATTTATGTACATAATCAATTATACAAATCAATATTTCGCTGTTCTGCTGACAGCCTCTTGAGGATTAGAGATCATGTAGGTGCCAAGACAACACATAATAGGGACACCCATGGCGCCTATATTCTCGTCCACATATTATATTCACTTAACTTAGTTACAATAATAGTAATGTTCTTAAAATTCAGTTGTATAATAATAAAAAAAAAAAAAAAAATTTTTTTCTGAAAAAATTATACAAGGGCGGCGTGGATATGTACAAAGTAATTTGTAAGAAAAAATTTTTTTTTATTTTTCTGATTGCTGTATAACTGAATTTTAAGAACATGACTGTTATTCTAACTATGTTAAGTGAATGTAATATGTGGACAAGAGTTTAAGCGCCATGGGTGTCTCTATTACGTGTTGTCTTGTCACCTAAATGATCTCTAATCCTGAAGAGGCTGTCAGCAGAAGACTGAAATATTGATTTGTGTAATTGATTATATAAATAAATAGTCATGCTTTTTAATATCAAGTTGTGGTTCTCAATATTATTTATGATGACAAAGGAGCAAGTTACAGGAGCACATAGATTATTACCAAATTATTCCAAATAATTTCAGTAAATTATCATTTACTTAAAAATTTCTTTTATCGCAAATATTGTTGTCTTATGGTTGAATTTTTAATGTTTTAGTGTCAACAACATTAGTAGCCTTGCTGACTTTCAAAATTGTACGGATCTTCGAGATTTATTTGTAAGGAAAAATAACATAATAGACATAAATGAAGTGTGCTACCTTCAGGGACTTCAAAACTTGAAAAATCTGTGGCTTGGAGAAAATCCTTGTGCAGATTTCGACGGGTAAAAAAAACTTATGAGCTACCTAATATAACTATTATTTTACAATGCTTATGGCTTTTTAAAGAAATAATGTTTTGCAGGTATCGTCTAGCTGTGATCAAAGCTCTACCGCAATTAGAAAAATTGGATGATAAAATAGTAACTCCTGAAGAGGTAGAAACAGCAAAAATGAGAGGAAAATCTTTAATTCATCCATTAGGTTTAATTCAACAAGAATTCTCGCCACTCCATTCTGGCCACAATAGTCTAGAAGTGAGTATTTGAAGTAAGCGTCATGGGTGATTGTCAAGAAGTTTTTTTTTTAGTTTCAATCAGAGCATCAGAAAAAAAACGTTCGTTTATTTAAATAACAAAAACTTTGTTATAGTTAAATTAACTCTTTTATTCACAATAGTCAATGTCACAGCGAAAGCAAAATTTTTGAAGCAAAGTCGTTCACCTGAAATTCAAGGATGAGACAGAAAAGACATTCGGTTGAAAGAAAATTTTTAATTTATTTTTTCTAGAAAAAAAAAAATTACATTTTTTTCATACCCCGGCCGAAAGTACGTGCATCCCTGCTCGATTTCACTCAAGGAAGGGTAGCTTTTGTGGCCGGCCAGAAAAAAGGGCGCCTCTGATTGGCTGCGTGCCTTTTGCTGCTGCTATCAGCAGCGCACGCGCAGTGGAAGCAAGAAGCAAGAACCGAGCCGAAGAGCCCGACTTGTGCACGCAATATATAAAGTGTATAGACTGCTCTTACCTCGATGCTGTCATCATCAACAGTGACCTGAGACTATACGGGTAAAGCTGAATCGCTGCCTCTCATTGTGTCCTGGACATTGGTTTCATCATCTGGTCTTTATGCAGTGCCATCGTATTTAATTTCTGATTTCTTACAAAATGTTAGTAAAAAAAGTCGTCGATGCCCGCCCCCCCGACCAGCACAGCCTCGGCTTCGCCTCGGCCTGCAAAAGTCGGGGCGGGCATCGACTACACATGAGCAACATGTGCTACAAGAGATCCCCGATGGATGGCGCTGATGCAGACAGCAAAAAAGTAACGTATACGTATATACTCGAGCGTCAGAGCGTCAACTATCAACCAGACATGCTATTTATTAGTTATTATTAATGTATCAAACGTACTTTCGGCCGGGGTATGAAGAAAAATCGTATTTGACCCACAGCCAGTAAACTAAAGACCCCGGCCTGTGTGTATGAGGGCCTCGGCTTCGCCTCGGCCATCATAACCACGCAGGCCGGGATTTTCAGTTTTCTGGCCTTGGGTCGTAATATACTATTTACGTTGAGAATTTGAATTAGTCATTCGTTTTTTAAATTATCTAGCCCTTTTGTAAATTTGACGTTGAGTAAATAAGATACACAATTGTAACACTTTGGTGTGACAGTAACATTAAACTTAAAATCAAGAATATTTCAATTTTATTTATTGGTAAAATTTTTTATTCAATTCTTCGATAGAAAATATTACTTGGTTCTAGATAAAGTCATGAGATGTTTTTCACACAAAAACTGATAACAAACTCATGGGAAAAAAATCGTATAATATGTTACTGGGGCACAAAATACATACATAAGCATCCGAAGGACGCGGTTGTTGTATGTTTTTGTAAATCACTTTAGGCCCGGAAGGTGCAAAAACATTTTTTTTACTTTGAAACAAAGTTATTACAAGGGCCCTAAAGTGTGTCCCAAGAGCACAGAGCGGCAGTTGAACTTTGTGCCCGTGGTAAAAAATGGTAGTTTTCCTCACAAAAAAGCCATCGCCTCTGGGGCTATATTGCGGCCCGAGGATCCTGCAAAGCAGACCCGAGGGACCGTAACATAGCCTCAGTAGTAAGGAAACTATTTCTCCAGACAGACTCACAGATGTACGTCATACAGCTGGCACTGGAGGCGTGGCCTCCGGGGGTAATATTTTTGGCAGACGTCATGTGATCCGGTAAGCCAACAATCTAATAATCCAATAAACAGTGTGCAGAAAGAGGCGTGAAGTGTTCGCATAATTTAAATATAATTACCGACGTTACTTAGCTTGTAACACTAATTCTTTTTTTTCCAGCGGAGGGAAAATTAAGGGGCGCCCCTAATTACCGGCTGTGCCTGGTCGGTAAACGTAAAAAATTAAAAAATTTAAAACTGTAAAAATTTGAAAGTGTAATTAACTGTAGTCAGTGAGCACGTAAAATTTTAAATTCTGAAATTTAAAAATAATTTAAAATTATCGACTGCTCTTGCTGAGTGGTAGTGGATGGTGGGTAGAGCTCTCGAATAAATACAAAAAATATATTTAATACATATATTGTACAAAAATATTAATTATGAGCTTACATTAGCACCTATAAATTTTAAAATTGTACTGTTCTACGGTTATACTTGAGCTTACTAGTTTAAGTGCATATTTTGCTTACAGTACAATTATTTCTAGAATTCTTCCGCCTTATGATAGGATTAAAAAAGGTCGCAGCTATTTTGTCGTTAGTAAGAGTATCTGATAAAAAAAGTAAACAAAACATGACAAAGGAATAGTTTTTGCACATGAAAAATAAAAAATTGATACAGTAATTTCCGCAAATGGTGAAATTAACATTTTGAAGCTGTTGTACATTTCAATGGTAAGTAATACAGTTTCTTTTGAGTCTATAGATATAACGAAAGACCATGGGTGAGTCTACTTCCCCTACATTGTCAATTTCAGCGTATAAAATGCAATTTATAGTTTTCATGAAAGCTGTCTAAAAGCGTCCTTCTATTCATACTGTACCATTCTTCTCTAAATTCCAATGATCTGCGTAATGTGCTCGGGTGAGAGATCGGGTGTAAGATCAAACGCAAAAAAACAATACCTATTAATAGTCTTTTTTGTGAATACTATTTCCCTCATTCATGTAATAGATCCTCGTGCCTAAAAAATAATGCATGATATGCTTCTACGTATATAGGTGTGCTTTCCGTAAAAGTCGGTTGTAGCGGCTTACTAGGGACTTGTACGCCGTCAACGTATAACGATAAAAAATTTATAGAATTATGTTGAAAGTTGAATGGATTCATCTTGCAATCCCCGTTAAAGGCTTTGTTGTCAACCAAACCTAAAATGATTCTTTTCGAAAGTTGTCCAAGGATAACATTATCTAAAAAGTCACCGCTTATACCACTATGTAAGGTAAAAGATTTGACTTCGACGCGAGTAATTAGATATTTTGCTATCGTGATTACTCGAGTTTTCGTGCGTGCAATCAAAACTGTAGGGGTAAGAAGCGCATTCCCATTCTTGTCGTAAGGTGTAAATTTGTTATTCGTTCTGAGCGTCGTATGGGCTAAGTCGATGTAATCCTCGTTTTGAGTACTGACAGTGAATTCTATGGGACTCTCGTCGCTTTACGACGAAACAGATTTGTAATGCACCCAATGGATGGTTTCTAAAACCGTCTGCGTGAAAGGTGCAGAAAATAAATCCAATTCTCTCTTTAAGCAAGGGTCCGTGTGACTGTATAGGAAGGACATAATTATCCAAAAATATCTACATGTTTTGATTTTTTTAATTTTCACCACCTTTTTCTTTGTTTTACGATCAATTTTTTTTACTTTTCTGTTGGGTTTCTTCTTCTTTCTATTTTTTTTAGTTTTTTACGCGCACCTATTTTTCGCTTGGTTACTCTCGAACGACTTTTTTTGCACTGTTTGACGAGTTTTTTTACACTACCACTTCTACATCAAAACTGTGCTTTTTTCTTATATGGTAAAGCATTATATCCTGATTCTTCCATCAGCTTCACAATTTTTTCTCTAGCTTAACGTTTGAAATTCTTACCAGATTCGTTCATCCGCTTCTTAAATGCGTCTTTAAACGGAATATTACTATCTACAACATCGTCAATTATATTCATTTCTGCTCGTAAAGCTTCTTTTCTAACGGTACAAGTACCTTTCACTATATAAGGCATAGTACTTCGAAATAGAGCAATAAAAGAAGAGCCTAATCCATGCACTCTCTGTCTATACGATCCTGCAAACACATGCTTGACTCCCCCATGTTGCGGATGGTACCCATCGTAAAAAATCATCATGTATACGTGTTGTTTAATAGAAAACCTATCTAAAATGTACCACTACCATCAATGTCCTAAGCTCGAATAATATTGGTTTACCAAATTGATCTCTTTTATCTATATCGATCGTATGAAATCTATTATTGAGGAGAGGTACGTAGGCTGTCGGAGTATACCTCTTGACAATTGTGTTTCCGAAATAAATATCCTGATTGGCTTGATTCACTACCTTCAGGAGCGGTACAAATGTATCACCAACAATATTTGATTCGCATGTATTATAATAGAGAAAAAGTTAATCTGGTACCGCTCTTGGTAAGCTTGCTGGTTGTTTACCGTGAAACAATAGCCTGTAATCACCTCTAATTTCGGCACTGTCACGCTCAATCTTGGTCAATCCTTCCTCAAACTCAATAACAGGTCTTACTGTAGTTGATGTAAACAGAATTTTCCCACATGTTCTTGTACGTCCTGGACCTGTTAGTAGAAAACCAATAAATGAAAATCCACCTTTATAATTATAAATTAGCTGCTGACATTTTTCATCTTTCTTACAGTACTAGTGGCCCCTCCATCTAGGTTTCGCCTGAGACTCACTAAATGGAACACCATAGTGTGTTGACATGTAACGTGAATCGTTTTCAGTTAAAAGTTTTATATTTATTCCTGACACTTCTCGAAACAAAAATCTTCTTATTAAAAATATATTTGTTTAGAATTCATACAGTTTATTTGGTCAAGTCATAAGCGGTCAAAAGTGAAAAAAATACTGCTATGCTGAAAAGTATCGTGCGTTCCTTATGCCACAAACTAATCGTTGGCCCGAAGTAGACGTTTATTTGCAGTTTTTCCCTTATAATCTACGAAAAGGGCTTTTTTTAAAGCTGTAAGGATTTAAAACTCACAAAAACAATGTAATTAAAATTTTTTTTTCTCTTATCTCACAACTTTATTACCAGGGCAATAAAGTCCTGAAGCTTAATCTCTATATTTTTGATCGCCACAAAAACACAAATACATATTGTACCTATTTGAAAATCTGGAATATTTAAGAGATTACTGTGAGAGTACAAGCAGATCCCTCACTTAATGCATTTTTTATTTGTTGATTTTGATGCTGCTGCTTCAATCTCAATAAATATTTTGCGTCAGTTTCTTGACCCCTCAAATTGTTTACATTAGATGCATTTGAAGTTTTCCT